GGTAGATTGTACGGCAAACACGTTCTCAAAGCGCTGCAAAGCAGTGCGGAGGCCCGGGCGTAAATGTACTGAGCCTTGTTTTACCAAGATTTTTTTCTGTCTTCTTTTATTTTAAAATTATATTTATTTATTTATTTACGCATACAAGAACTGGGTACAGGCCAGCGGTGCAAGGGGTGAAAGGATTCAACATAGAGTGGGGAGCGGAACAGACAGGCCAACTGAAATACACTGCTCAGGGGAGCAGCGGGAGACAGGAGGGGTCTGCCGTGCCCTGTCACTCTCCGGCCGGGGATCGAACTGGTGCTGCAGGGGCTGCGGAGAGCTTCACAGTGCTGCTCTTTCACCCATTGTGCCACCAGCGAGGCCCTAAATCATATTATTATTTTTTTTTAAAGATTTATTCATTTATTCATCAGAACTGGGGTACAGGCCAGAGATGCAGAGGGTGAGAGGCTTCACCAGGGACAGTGGTGTGCAGAACAGGCAGATCAAGAAGTCCACTGCTGAGGGTGCAGCGGGTGGGTCAGGAGAGGTCTGCCGCGCCGTGTGGTCACCTCCGGGGCAGGCGGGAATGAACTCATGCGGAAGTGGCTTTAGCTTCTCAGTGCTGTGCTTTAACCCGCTGCGCCCCCAGGGAGGGCCATAAATCATATTATTTTTATTGAAGTATATATACTCGCAGTACACAGATGCCCGATGAAGTGTTCACATCCAGTTTTACACCACCAGCTATGAATGCGATGTCTATGAACATTGTATATGAAATGTCACTCACCCCTTCAGATGAGTGATAACACCACACTCCCCGGCAGAATGCCCATAAGCCTCCCCTGGCATCCACCCCCCGGCCCTCTCCCTAGGGTAGTTTACCAAAATCGCTTATTTAGATTAATTTCTTTTGGTGGTAAAATACACATAACAGGAAATTGAGCACTTTAACCATTTTAAAGTACACAATTCAGGGACATTAAGTACACTTCAGGATGTTGTACAACCGTCACCGCTACCTAGTTCCAGAAGCCTTTCGTCATCCCCAATGCAGTCCCTGTACCCTTGGTTTACAAGGAACACTGTGGGCTCCAGTAAACACATCTGCTGCGTCCACGCCTCCTGGAGTGGGGAGGTCGTCACCCCTGCACAGCAGCGGCGCTATGGAGACCCTCCTGCCGGGGCCAGGGCCTGGGCCTGCACGGCACTGGCAGTAGAGAGATGCCAGCCGCTGGTGATGACCAGAGGTTTCAGGGCTGTGTACATGGCAGAGACCTGCAGTAACAGGGTGGGGGGCTTGCCTGGGCCAAATGGGGTACCCACCTCAGCTCAGGTCTGTCATAAGCAAGCAAGATTGCAGATCATCCTTCCTGGATACTGCAACTTGCAAGAGACACCCTAAATCTACACTTTCATTAAAAGTGGACATTCACGGCCCTCCCTGGTGGCGCAGCGGGTTAAAGCGCAGCACTAACACCCTAAAGCCACTTCCGCATGAGTTCGATTCCCGCCTGCCCTGGAGGTGACCACATGGCTCAGCAGACCTCTCCTGGCCCGCCCGCTGCTCCCCTCAGCAGTGTACTTCTTGATCTGCCTGTTCTGCTCCCCACTCTGTCTCTGGTAAAGCCTCTCACCCTCCGCATCTCTGGCTTGTACCCCAGTTCTGTATGAATGAATAAATAAATCTTAAAAACAAACAAAAAAAGTGGACATTCAGGGCCCTCCCTGGGGGCGCAGCGGGTTAAAGCGCAGCACTGAGAAGCTGAAGCCACTTCCGCATGAGTTCGATCCCCGCCTGCCTGCTGGTGACCCCATGGCGCGGCAGACCTCTCCTGACCCGCCCGCTGCTCCCCCCAGCAGTGTACTTCATCGATCTGACTGTTCTGCGCCCCACTCTGTCTCTGGGAAATCCTCTCACCGC